GGGACAGGAGAGAGCACGAGGGACAGGAGAGAGCACGAGGGACAGTAGAGAGCACGAGGGACAGGAGAGAGCACGAGGGACAGTAGAGAGCACGAGGGACAGGAGAGAGCACGAGGGACAGGAGAGAGCACGAGGGACAGGAAAGAGCACGAGGGACAGGAGAGAGCACGAGGGACAGGAGAGAGCACGAGGGACAGGAGAGAGCACAAGGGACAGTAGAGAGCACAAGGGACAGTAGAGAGCACGAGGGACAGGAGAGAGCACAAGGGACAGGAGAGAGCACGAGGGACAGGAGAGAGCACGAGGGACAGGAGAGAGCACGAGGGACAGGAGAGAGCACGAGGGACAGTAGAGAGCACGAGGGACAGTAGAGAGCACGAGGGACAGTAGAGAGCACGAGGGACAGTAGATTGCACGAGGGACAGTAGAGAGCACGAGGGACAGTAGAGAGCACGAGGGTCAGTAGAGAGCGCGAGGGACAGGAGAGAGCACGAGGGACAGTAGAGAGCGCGAGGGACAGTAGAGAGCACGAGGGACAGTAGAGAGCACGAGGGACAGGAGAGAGCACGAGGGACAGTAGAGAGCACGAGGGACAGGAGAGAGCACGAGGGACAGAAGAGAGCACGAGGGACAGTAGAGAGCACGAGGGACAGTAGAGAGCACGAGGGACAGTAGAGAGCACAAGGGACAGTAGAGAGCACGAGGGACAATAGAGAGCACGAGGGACAGGAGAGAGCACGAGGGACAGAAGAGAGCACGAGGGACAGTAGAGAGCACGAGGGACAGGAGAGAGCATGAGGGACAGTAGAGAGCACGAGGGACAGTAGAGAGCACGAGGGACAGTAGAGAGCACGAGGGACAGGAGAGAGCACGAGGGACAGGAGAGAGCACGAGGGACAGGAGAGAGCACGAGGGACAGTAGAGAGCACGAGGGACAGTAGAGAGCACGAGGGACAGTAGAGAGCACGAGGGACAGTAGAGAGCACGAGGGACAGGAGAGAGCATGAGGGACAGTAGAGAGCACGAGGGACAGGAGAGAGCACGAGGGACAGGAGAGAGCACGAGGGACAGTAGAGAGCACGAGGGACAGGAGAGAGCACGAGGGACAGTAGAGAGCACGAGGGACAGGAGAGAGCACGAGGGACAGGAGAGAGCACGAGGGACAGGAGAGAGCACGAGGGACAGGAGAGAGCACGAGGGACAGGAGAGAGCACGAGGGACAGGAGAGAGCACAAGGGACAGTAGAGAGCACGAGGGACAGTAGAGAGCACGAGGGACAGTAGAGAGCACAAGGGACAGTAGAGAGCACGAGGGACAGTAGAGAGCACGAGGGACAGAAGAGAGCACGAGGGACAGTAGAGAGCACGAGGGACAGGAGAGAGCACGAGGGACAGTAGAGAGCACAAGGGACAGTAGAGAGCACGAGGGACAGTAGAGAGCACGAGGGACAGGAGAGAGCACAAGGGACAGTAGAGAGCACGAGGGACAGTAGAGAGCACGAGGGACAGAAGAGAGCACGAGGGACAGTAGAGAGCACGAGGGACAGGAGAGAGCACGAGGGACAGGAGAGAGCACGAGGGACAGGAAAGAGCACGAGGGACAGGAGAGAGCACGAGGGACAGGAGAGAGCACGAGGGACAGGAGAGAGCACGAGGGACAGTAGAGAGCACGAGGGACAGTAGAGAGCACGAGGGACAGTAGATTGCACGAGGGACAGTAGAGAGCACGAGGGACAGTAGAGAGCACGAGGGTCAGTAGAGAGCGCGAGGGACAGGAGAGAGCACGAGGGACAGTAGAGAGCGCGAGGGACAGTAGAGAGCACGAGGGACAGTAGAGAGCACGAGGGACAGGAGAGAGCACGAGGGACAGTAGAGAGCACGAGGGACAGGAGAGAGCACGAGGGACAGTAGAGAGCACGAGGGACAGGAGAGGGCACGAGGGACAGTAGAGAGCACGAGGGACAGTAGAGAGCACGAGGGACAGTAGAGAGCACGAGGGACAGGAGAGAGCACGAGGGACAGTAGAGAGCACGAGGGACAGTAGAGAGCACGAGGGACAGGAGAGAGCACGAGGGACAGTAGAGAGCACGAGGGACAGGAGATAGCACGAGGGACAGTAGAGAGCACGAGGGACAGTAGAGAGCACGAGGGACAGGAGAGAGCAGGAGGGACAGTAGAGAGCACAAGGGACAGGAGAGAGCACGAGGGACAGTAGAGAGCACAAGGGACAGTAGAGAGCACGAGGGACAATAGAGAGCACGAGGGACAGGAGAGAGCACGAGGGACAGTAGAGAGCACGAGGGACAGGAGAGAGCATGAGGGACAGTAGAGAGCACGAGGGACAGGAGAGAGCACGAGGGACAGGAGAGAGCACGAGGGACAGTAGAGAGCACGAGGGACAGGAGAGAGCACGAGGGACAGTAGAGAGCACGAGGGACAGGAGAGAGCACGAGGGACAGGAGAGAGCACGAGGGACAGGAAAGAGCACGAGGGACAGGAGAGAGCACGAGGGACAGGAGAGAGCACGAGGGACAGGAGAGAGCACAAGGGACAGTAGAGAGCACAAGGGACAGTAGAGAGCACGAGGGACAGGAGAGAGCACAAGGGACAGGAGAGAGCACGAGGGACAGGAGAGAGCACGAGGGACAGGAGAGAGCACGAGGGACAGGAGAGAGCACGAGGGACAGTAGAGAGCACGAGGGACAGTAGAGAGCACGAGGGACAGTAGAGAGCACGAGGGACAGTAGATTGCACGAGGGACAGTAGAGAGCACGAGGGACAGTAGAGAGCACGAGGGTCAGTAGAGAGCGCGAGGGACAGGAGAGAGCACGAGGGACAGTAGAGAGCGCGAGGGACAGTAGAGAGCACGAGGGACAGTAGAGAGCACGAGGGACAGGAGAGAGCACGAGGGACAGTAGAGAGCACGAGGGACAGGAGAGAGCACGAGGGACAGAAGAGAGCACGAGGGACAGTAGAGAGCACGAGGGACAGTAGAGAGCACGAGGGACAGTAGAGAGCACAAGGGACAGTAGAGAGCACGAGGGACAATAGAGAGCACGAGGGACAGGAGAGAGCACGAGGGACAGAAGAGAGCACGAGGGACAGTAGAGAGCACGAGGGACAGGAGAGAGCATGAGGGACAGTAGAGAGCACGAGGGACAGGAGAGAGCACGAGGGACAGGAGAGAGCACGAGGGACAGTAGAGAGCACGAGGGACAGGAGAGAGCACGAGGGACAGTAGAGAGCACGAGGGACAGGAGAGAGCACGAGGGACAGGAGAGAGCACGAGGGACAGGAAAGAGCACGAGGGACAGGAGAGAGCACGAGGGACAGGAGAGAGCACGAGGGACAGGAGAGAGCACAAGGGACAGTAGAGAGCACAAGGGACAGTAGAGAGCACGAGGGACAGGAGAGAGCACAAGGGACAGGAGAGAGCACGAGGGACAGGAGAGAGCACGAGGGACAGGAGAGAGCACGAGGGACAGGAGAGAGCACGAGGGACAGTAGAGAGCACGAGGGACAGTAGAGAGCACGAGGGACAGTAGAGAGCACGAGGGACAGTAGAGAGCACGAGGGACAGTAGAGAGCACGAGGGACAGGAGATAGCACGAGGGACAGTAGAGAGCACGAGGGACAGGAGAGAGCACGAGGGACAGGAGAGAGCACGAGGGACAGTAGAGAGCACGAGGGACAGTAGAGAGCACGAGGGACAGGAGAGAGCACGAGGGACAGGAGAGAGCACGAGGGACAGTAGAGAGCACGAGGGACAGTAGAGAGCACGAGGGACAGTAGAGAGCACGAGGGACAGTAGAGAGCACGAGGGACAGTAGAGAGCACGAGGGACAGTAGATTGCACGAGGGACAGTAGAGAGCACGAGGGACAGTAGAGAGCACGAGGGTCAGTAGAGAGCGCGAGGGACAGGAGAGAGCACGAGGGACAGTAGAGAGCGCGAGGGACAGTAGAGAGCACGAGGGACAGTAGAGAGCACGAGGGACAGGAGAGAGCACGAGGGACAGTAGAGAGCACGAGGGACAGGAGAGAGCACGAGGGACAGTAGAGAGCACGAGGGACAGGAGAGGGCACGAGGGACAGTAGAGAGCACGAGGGACAGTAGAGAGCACGAGGGACAGTAGAGAGCACGAGGGACAGGAGAGAGCACGAGGGACAGTAGAGAGCACGAGGGACAGTAGAGAGCACGAGGGACAGGAGAGAGCACGAGGGACAGTAGAGAGCACGAGGGACAGGAGATAGCACGAGGGACAGTAGAGAGCACGAGGGACAGTAGAGAGCACGAGGGACAGGAGAGAGCAGGAGGGACAGTAGAGAGCACAAGGGACAGGAGAGAGCACGAGGGACAGTAGAGAGCACAAGGGACAGTAGAGAGCACGAGGGACAATAGAGAGCACGAGGGACAGGAGAGAGCACGAGGGACAGAAGAGAGCACGAGGGACAGTAGAGAGCACGAGGGACAGGAGAGAGCATGAGGGACAGTAGAGAGCACGAGGGACAGGAGAGAGCACGAGGGACAGGAGAGAGCACGAGGGACAGTAGAGAGCACGAGGGACAGGAGAGAGCACGAGGGACAGTAGAGAGCACGAGGGACAGGAGAGAGCACGAGGGACAGGAGAGAGCACGAGGGACAGGAAAGAGCACGAGGGACAGGAGAGAGCACGAGGGACAGGAGAGAGCACGAGGGACAGGAGAGAGCACAAGGGACAGTAGAGAGCACAAGGGACAGTAGAGAGCACGAGGGACAGGAGAGAGCACAAGGGACAGGAGAGAGCACGAGGGACAGGAGAGAGCACGAGGGACAGGAGAGAGCACGAGGGACAGGAGAGAGCACGAGGGACAGTAGAGAGCACGAGGGACAGTAGAGAGCACGAGGGACAGTAGAGAGCACGAGGGACAGTAGAGAGCACGAGGGACAGTAGAGAGCACGAGGGACAGTAGATTGCACGAGGGACAGTAGAGAGCACGAGGGACAGTAGAGAGCACGAGGGTCAGTAGAGAGCGCGAGGGACAGGAGAGAGCACGAGGGACAGTAGAGAGCGCGAGGGACAGTAGAGAGCACGAGGGACAGTAGAGAGCACGAGGGACAGGAGAGAGCACGAGGGACAGTAGAGAGCACGAGGGACAGGAGAGAGCACGAGGGACAGAAGAGAGCACGAGGGACAGTAGAGAGCACGAGGGACAGGAGAGAGCACGAGGGACAGGAGAGAGCACGAGGGACAGGAGAGAGCAAGAGGCACAGTAGAGAGCACGAGGGACAGGAGAGAGCACAAGGGACAGGAGAGAGCACGAGGGACAGGAGAGAGCACGAGGGACAGGAGAGAGCACGAGGGACAGGAGAGAGCACGAGGGACAGTAGAGAGCACGAGGGACAGTAGAGAGCACGAGGGACAGTAGAGAGCACGAGGGACAGTAGAGAGCACGAGGGACAGTAGAGAGCACGAGGGACAGGAGATAGCACGAGGGACAGTAGAGAGCACGAGGGACAGGAGAGAGCACGAGGGACAGGAGAGAGCACGAGGGACAGTAGAGAGCACGAGGGACAGTAGAGAGCACGAGGGACAGGAGAGAGCACGAGGGACAGGAGAGAGCACGAGGGACAGTAGAGAGCACGAGGGACAGTAGAGAGCACGAGGGACAGTAGAGAGCACGAGGGACAGTAGAGAGCACGAGGGACAGTAGAGAGCACGAGGGACAGTAGATTGCACGAGGGACAGTAGAGAGCACGAGGGACAGTAGAGAGCACGAGGGTCAGTAGAGAGCGCGAGGGACAGGAGAGAGCACGAGGGACAGTAGAGAGCGCGAGGGACAGTAGAGAGCACGAGGGACAGTAGAGAGCACGAGGGACAGGAGAGAGCACGAGGGACAGTAGAGAGCACGAGGGACAGGAGAGAGCACGAGGGACAGTAGAGAGCACGAGGGACAGGAGAGGGCACGAGGGAAAGTAGAGAGCACGAGGGACAGTAGAGAGCACGAGGGACAGTAGAGAGCACGAGGGACAGGAGAGAGCACGAGGGACAGTAGAGAGCACGAGGGACAGTAGAGAGCACGAGGGACAGGAGAGAGCACGAGGGACAGTAGAGAGCACGAGGGACAGGAGATAGCACGAGGGACAGTAGAGAGCACGAGGGACAGTAGAGAGCACGAGGGACAGGAGAGAGCAGGAGGGACAGTAGAGAGCACAAGGGACAGGAGAGAGCACGAGGGACAGTAGAGAGCACAAGGGACAGTAGAGAGCACGAGGGACAATAGAGAGCACGAGGGACAGGAGAGAGCACGAGGGACAGAAGAGAGCACGAGGGACAGTAGAGAGCACGAGGGACAGGAGAGAGCATGAGGGACAGTAGAGAGCACGAGGGACAGGAGAGAGCACGAGGGACAGGAGAGAGCACGAGGGACAGTAGAGAGCACGAGGGACAGGAGAGAGCACGAGGGACAGTAGAGAGCACGAGGGACAGGAGAGAGCACGAGGGACAGGAGAGAGCACGAGGGACAGGAAAGAGCACGAGGGACAGGAGAGAGCACGAGGGACAGGAGAGAGCACGAGGGACAGGAGAGAGCACAAGGGACAGTAGAGAGCACAAGGGACAGTAGAGAGCACGAGGGACAGGAGAGAGCACAAGGGACAGGAGAGAGCACGAGGGACAGGAGAGAGCACGAGGGACAGGAGAGAGCACGAGGGACAGGAGAGAGCACGAGGGACAGTAGAGAGCACGAGGGACAGTAGAGAGCACGAGGGACAGTAGAGAGCACGAGGGACAGTAGAGAGCACGAGGGACAGTAGAGAGCACGAGGGACAGTAGATTGCACGAGGGACAGTAGAGAGCACGAGGGACAGTAGAGAGCACGAGGGTCAGTAGAGAGCGCGAGGGACAGGAGAGAGCACGAGGGACAGAAGAGAGCACGAGGGACAGTAGAGAGCACGAGGGACAGGAGAGAGCACGAGGGACAGGAGAGAGCACGAGGGACAGGAGAGAGCAAGAGGGACAGTAGAGAGCACGAGGGACAGTAGAGAGCACGAGGGACAGTAGAGAGCACGAGGGACAGTAGAGAGCACGAGGGACAGGAGAGAGGATGAGGGACAGTAGAGAGCACGAGGGACAGGAGAGAGCACGAGGGACAGGAGAGAGCACGAGGGACAGTAGAGAGCACGAGGGACAGGAGAGAGCACGAGGGACAGTAGAGAGCACGAGGGACAGGAGAGAGCACGAGGGACAGGAGAGAGCACGAGGGACAGGAGAGAGCACGAGGGACAGGAGAGAGCACGAGGGACAGGAGAGAGCACGAGGGACAGGAGAGAGCACAAGGGACAGTAGAGAGCACAAGGGACAGTAGAGAGCACGAGGGACAGGAGAGAGCACAAGGGACAGGAGAGAGCACGAGGGACAGGAGAGAGCACGAGGGACAGGAGAGAGCACGAGGGACAGGAGAGAGCACGAGGGACAGGAGAGAGCACGAGGGACAGTAGAGAGCACGAGGGACAGGAGAGAGCACGAGGGACAGTAGAGAGCACGAGGGACAGGAGAGAGCACGAGGGACAGGAGAGAGCACGAGGGACAGGAGAGAGCACGAGGGACAGGAGAGAGCACGAGGGACAGGAGAGAGCACGAGGGACAGTAGAGAGCACGAGGGACAGTAGAGAGCACGAGGGACAGTAGAGAGCACGAGGGACAGGAGAGAGCACGAGGGACAGTAGAGAGCACGAGGGACAGGAGAGAGCACGAGGGACAGTAGAGATCACGAGGGACAGGAGAGAGCCCGAGGGACAGGAGAGAGCACGAGGGACAGTAGAGAGCACGAGGGACAGTAAGAGCACGAGGGACATTAGAGAGCACGAGGGACAGGAGAGAGCACGAGGGACAGGAGAGAGCACGAGGGACAGGAGAGAGCACGAGGGACATTAGAGAGCACGAGGGACAGGAGAGAGCACGAGGGACAGTAGAGAGCACAAGGGACAGTAGAGAGCACGAGGGACAATAGAGAGCACGAGGGACAGGAGAGAGCACGAGGGACAGAAGAGAGCACGAGGGACAGTAGAGAGCACGAGGGACAGTAGAGAGCATGAGGGACAGTAGAGAGCACGAGGGACAGGAGAGAGCACGAGGGACAGGAGAGAGCACGAGGGACAGTAGAGAGCACGAGGGACAGGAGAGAGCACGAGGGACAGGAGAGAGCATGAGGGACAGTAGAGAGCACGAGGGACAGTAGAGAGCACGAGGGACAGTAGAGAGCACGAGGGACAGTAGAGAGCACGAGGGACAGGAGAGAGCACGAGGGACAGGAGAGAGCACGAGGGACAGGAGAGAGCACGAGGGACAGTAGAGAGCACGAGGGACAGTAGAGAGCACGAGGGACAGTAGAGAGCACGAGGGACAGTAGAGAGCACGAGGGACAGGAGAGAGCATGAGGGACAGTAGAGAGCACGAGGGACAGGAGAGAGCACGAGGGACAGGAGAGAGCACGAGGGACAGTAGAGAGCACGAGGGACAGGAGAGAGCACGAGGGACAGTAGAGAGCACGAGGGACAGGAGAGAGCACGAGGGACAGGAGAGAGCACGAGGGACAGGAGAGAGCACGAGGGACAGGAGAGAGCACGAGGGACAGGAGAGAGCACGAGGGACAGGAGAGAGCACGAGGGACAGTAGAGAGCACGAGGGACAGTAGAGAGCACGAGGGACAGTAGAGAGCACAAGGGACAGTAGAGAGCACGAGGGACAGTAGAGAGCACGAGGGACAGAAGAGAGCACGAGGGACAGTAGAGAGCACGAGGGACAGGAGAGAGCACGAGGGACAGTAGAGAGCACAAGGGACAGTAGAGAGCACGAGGGACAGTAGAGAGCACGAGGGACAGGAGAGAGCACAAGGGACAGTAGAGAGCACGAGGGACAGTAGAGAGCACGAGGGACAGAAGAGAGCACGAGGGACAGTAGAGAGCACGAGGGACAGGAGAGAGCACGAGGGACAGTAGAGAGCACAAGGGACAGTAGAGAGCACGAGGGACAGTAGAGAGCACGAGGGACAGTAGAGAGCACGAGGGACAGTAGATTGCACGAGGGACAGTAGAGAGCACGAGGGACAGTAGAGAGCACGAGGGACAGGAGAGAGCACGAGGGACAGAAGAGAGCACGAGGGACAGTAGAGAGCACGAGGGACAGTAGAGAGCACGAGGGACAGGAGAGAGCACGAGGGACAGGAGAGAGCACGAGGGACAGGAGAGAGCACGAGGGACAGGAGAGAGCACGAGGGACAGTAGAGAGCACGAGGGACAGGAGAGAGCACGAGGGACAGTAGAGAGCACAAGGGACAGTAGAGAGCACGAGGGACAGTAGAGAGCACGAGGGACAGTAGAGAGCACGAGGGACAGGAGAGAGCACGAGGGACAGGAGAGAGCACAAGGGACAGTAGAGAGCACGAGGGACAGTAGAGAGCACGAGGGACAGAAGAGAGCACGAGGGACAGTAGAGAGCACGAGGGACAGGAGAGAGCACGAGGGACAGGAGAGAGCACAAGGGACAGTAGAGAGCACGAGGGACAGTAGAGAGCACGAGGGACAGAAGAGAGCACGAGGGACAGTAGAGAGCACGAGGGACAGGAGAGAGCACGAGGGACAGTAGAGAGCACAAGGGACAGTAGAGAGCACGAGGGACAGTAGAGAGCACGAGGGACAGGAGAGAGCACGAGGGACAGTAGAGAGCACGAGGGACAGGAGAGAGCACGAGGGACAGGAGAGAGCATGAGGGACAGTAGAGAGCACGAGGGACAGTAGAGAGCACGAGGGACAGTAGAGAGCACGAGGGACAGTAGAGAGCACGAGGGACAGGAGAGAGCACGAGGGACAGGAGAGAGCACGAGGGACAGGAGAGAGCACGAGGGACAGTAGAGAGCACGAGGGACAGTAGAGAGCACGAGGGACAGTAGAGAGCACGAGGGACAGTAGAGAGCACGAGGGACAGGAGAGAGCATGAGGGACAGTAGAGAGCACGAGGGACAGGAGAGAGCACGAGGGACAGGAGAGAGCACGAGGGACAGTAGAGAGCACGAGGGACAGGAGAGAGCACGAGGGACAGTAGAGAGCACGAGGGACAGGAGAGAGCACGAGGGACAGGAGAGAGCACGAGGGACAGGAGAGAGCACGAGGGACAGGAGAGAGCACGAGGGACAGGAGAGAGCACGAGGGACAGGAGAGAGCACAAGGGACAGTAGAGAGCACGAGGGACAGTAGAGAGCACGAGGGACAGTAGAGAGCACAAGGGACAGTAGAGAGCACGAGGGACAGTAGAGAGCACGAGGGACAGAAGAGAGCACGAGGGACAGTAGAGAGCACGAGGGACAGGAGAGAGCACGAGGGACAGTAGAGAGCACAAGGGACAGTAGAGAGCACGAGGGACAGTAGAGAGCACGAGGGACAGGAGAGAGCACAAGGGACAGTAGAGAGCACGAGGGACAGTAGAGAGCACGAGGGACAGAAGAGAGCACGAGGGACAGTAGAGAGCACGAGGGACAGGAGAGAGCACGAGGGACAGTAGAGAGCACAAGGGACAGTAGAGAGCACGAGGGACAGTAGAGAGCACGAGGGACAGTAGAGAGCACGAGGGACAGTAGATTGCACGAGGGACAGTAGAGAGCACGAGGGACAGTAGAGAGCACGAGGGACAGGAGAGAGCACGAGGGACAGAAGAGAGCACGAGGGACAGTAGAGAGCACGAGGGACAGTAGAGAGCACGAGGGACAGGAGAGAGCACGAGGGACAGGAGAGAGCACGAGGGACAGGAGAGAGCACGAGGGACAGGAGAGAGCACGAGGGACAGTAGAGAGCACGAGGGACAGGAGAGAGCACGAGGGACAGTAGAGAGCACAAGGGACAGTAGAGAGCACGAGGGACAGTAGAGAGCACGAGGGACAGTAGAGAGCACGAGGGACAGGAGAGAGCACGAGGGACAGGAGAGAGCACAAGGGACAGTAGAGAGCACGAGGGACAGTAGAGAGCACGAGGGACAGAAGAGAGCACGAGGGACAGTAGAGAGCACGAGGGACAGGAGAGAGCACGAGGGACAGGAGAGAGCACAAGGGACAGTAGAGAGCACGAGGGACAGTAGAGAGCACGAGGGACAGAAGAGAGCACGAGGGACAGTAGAGAGCACGAGGGACAGGAGAGAGCACGAGGGACAGTAGAGAGCACAAGGGACAGTAGAGAGCACGAGGGACAGTAGAGAGCACGAGGGACAGTAGAGAGCACGAGGGACAGTAGATTGCACGAGGGACAGTAGAGAGCACGAGGGACAGTAGAGAGCACGAGGGACAGGAGAGAGCACGAGGGACAGAAGAGAGCACGAGGGACAGTAGAGAGCACGAGGGACAGTAGAGAGCACGAGGGACAGGAGAGAGCACGAGGGACAGGAGAGAGCACGAGGGACAGGAGAGAGCACGAGGGACAGGAGAGAGCACGAGGGACAGTAGAGAGCACGAGGGACAGGAGAGAGCACGAGGGACAGTAGAGAGCACAAGGGACAGTAGAGAGCACGAGGGACAGTAGAGAGCACGAGGGACAGTAGAGAGCACGAGGGACAGTAGATTGCACGAGGGACAGTAGAGAGCACGAGGGACAGTAGAGAGCACGAGGGACAGGAGAGAGCACGAGGGACAGAAGAGAGCACGAGGGACAGTAGAGAGCACGAGGGACAGTAGAGAGCACGAGGGACAGGAGAGAGCACGAGGGACAGGAGAGAGCACGAGGGACAGGAGAGAGCACGAGGGACAGGAGAGAGCATGAGGGACAGGAGAGAGCACGAGGGACAGTAGAGAGCACGAGGGACAGTAGAGAGCACGAGGGACAGTAGAGAGCACGAGGGACAGGAGAGAGCACGAGGGACAGGAGAGAGCACGAGGGACAGGAGAGAGCACGAGGGACAGTAGAGAGCACGAGGGACAGTAGAGAGCACGAGGGACAGTAGAGAGCACGAGGGACAGTAGAGAGCACGAGGGACAGGAGAGAGCACGAGGGACAGGAGAGAGCACGAGGGACAGGAGAGAGCACGAGGGACAGGAGAGAGCACGAGGGACAGTAGAGAGCACGAGGGACAGGAGAGAGCACGAGGGACAGTAGAGAGCACGAGGGACAGGAGAGAGCACGAGGGACAGGAGAGAGCACGAGGGACAGGAGAGAGCACGAGGGACAGGAGAGAGCACGAGGGACAGGAGAGAGCACGAGGGACAGGAGAGAGCACAAGGGACAGTAGAGAGCACAAGGGACAGTAGAGAGCACGAGGGACAGGAGAGAGCACAAGGGACAGGAGAGAGCACGAGGGACAGTAGAGAGCACGAGGGACAGGAGAGAGCACGAGGGACAGGAGAGAGCACGAGGGACAGTAGAGAGCACGAGGGACAGTAGAGAGCACGAGGGACAGTAGAGAGCACAAGGGACAGTAGAGAGCACGAGGGACAGTAGAGAGCACGAGGGACAGTAGAGAGCACGAGGGACAGTAGATTGCACGAGGGACAGTAGAGAGCACGAGGGACAGTAGAGAGCACGAGGGACAGGAGAGAGCACGAGGGACAGAAGAGAGCACGAGGGACAGTAGAGAGCACGAGGGACAGTAGAGAGCACGAGGGACAGGAGAGAGCACGAGGGACAGGAGAGAGCACGAGGGACAGGAGAGAGCACGAGGGACAGGAGAGAGCATGAGGGACAGGAGAGAGCACGAGGGACAGTAGAGAGCACGAGGGACAGTAGAGAGCACGAGGGACAGTAGAGAGCACGAGGGACAGGAGAGAGCACGAGGGACAGGAGAGAGCACGAGGGACAGGAGAGAGCACGAGGGACAGTAGAGAGCACGAGGGACAGTAGAGAGCACGAGGGACAGTAGAGAGCACGAGGGACAGTAGAGAGCACGAGGGACAGGAGAGAGCACGAGGGACAGTAGAGAGCACGAGGGACAGTAGAGAGCACGAGGGACAGAAGAGAGCACGAGGGACAGTAGAGAGCACGAGGGACAGGAGAGAGCACGAGGGACAGTAGAGAGCACAAGGGACAGTAGAGAGCACGAGGGACAGTAGAGAGCACGAGGGACAGAAGAGAGCACGAGGGACAGTAGAGAGCACGAGGGACAGGAGAGAGCACGAGGGACAGTAGAGAGCACAAGGGACAGTAGAGAGCACGAGGGACAGGAGAGAGCACGAGGGACAGGAGAGAGCACGAGGGACAGTAGAGAGCACGAGGGACAGGAGAGAGCACGAGGGACAGTAGAGAGCACGAGGGACAGTAGAGAGCACGAGGGACAGAAGAGAGCACGAGGGACAGTAGAGAGCACGAGGGACAGGAGAGAGCACGAGGGACAGTAGAGAGCACAAGGGACAGTAGAGAGCACGAGGGACAGGAGAGAGCACGAGGGACAGGAGAGAGCACAAGGGACAGTAGAGAGCACGAGGGACAGTAGAGAGCACGAGGGACAGAAGAGAGCACGAGGGACAGTAGAGAGCACGAGGGACAGGAGAGAGCACGAGGGACAGTAGAGAGCACAAGGGACAGTAGAGAGCACGAGGGACAGTAGAGAGCACGAGGGACAGTAGAGAGCACGAGGGACAGTAGATTGCACGAGGGACAGTAGAGAGCACGAGGGACAGTAGAGAGCACGAGGGACAGGAGAGAGCACGAGGGACAGAAGAGAGCACGAGGGACAGTAGAGAGCACGAGGGACAGTAGAGAGCACGAGGGACAGGAGAGAGCACGAGGGACAGGAGAGAGCACGAGGGACAGGAGAGAGCACGAGGGACAGGAGAGAGCACGAGGGACAGTAGAGAGCACGAGGGACAGGAGAGAGCACGAGGGACAGTAGAGAGCACAAGGGACAGTAGAGAGCACGAGGGACAGTAGAGAGCACGAGGGACAGTAGAGAGCACGAGGGACAGTAGATTGCACGAGGGACAGTAGAGAGCACGAGGGACAGTAGAGAGCACGAGGGACAGGAGAGAGCACGAGGGACAGAAGAGAGCACGAGGGACAGTAGAGAGCACGAGGGACAGTAGAGAGCACGAGGGACAGGAGAGAGCACGAGGGACAGGAGAGAGCACGAGGGACAGGAGAGAGCACGAGGGACAGGAGAGAGCACGAGGGACAGTAGAGAGCACGAGGGACAGTAGAGAGCACGAGGGACAGTAGAGAGCACGAGGGACAGTAGAGAGCACGAGGGACAGGAGAGAGCACGAGGGACAGGAGAGAGCACGAGGGACAGGAGAGAGCACGAGGGACAGGAGAGAGCACGAGGGACGGTAGAGAGCACGAGGGACAGGAGAGAGCACGAGGGACAGTAGAGAGCACGAGGGACAGGAGAGAGCACGAGGGACAGGAGAGAGCACGAGGGACAGGAGAGAGCACGAGGGACAGGAGAGAGCACGAGGGACAGGAGAGAGCACGAGGGACAGGAGAGAGCACGAGGGACAGGAGAGAGCACAAGGGACAGTAGAGAGCACAAGGGACAGTAGAGAGCACGAGGGACAGGAGAGAGCACAAGGGACAGGAGAGAGCACGAGGGACAGTAGAGAGCACGAGGGACAGGAGAGAGCACGAGGGACAGGAGAGAGCACGAGGGACAGTAGAGAGCACGAGGGACAGTAGAGAGCACGAGGGACAGTAGAGAGCACAAGGGACAGTAGAGAGCACGAGGGACAGTAGAGAGCACGAGGGACAGTAGAGAGCACGAGGGACAGTAGATTGCACGAGGGACAGTAGAGAGCACGAGGGACAGTAGAGAGCACGAGGGACAGGAGAGAGCACGAGGGACAGAAGAGAGCACGAGGGACAGTAGAGAGCACGAGGGACAGTAGAGAGCACGAGGGACAGGAGAGAGCACGAGGGACAGGAGAGAGCACGAGGGACAGGAGAGAGCACGAGGGACAGGAGAGAGCATGAGGGACAGGAGAGAGCACGAGGGACAGTAGAGAGCACGAGGGACAGTAGAGAGCACGAGGGACAGTAGAGAGCACGAGGGACAGTAGAGAGCACGAGGGACAGTAGATTGCACGAGGGACAGTAGAGAGCACGAGGGACAGTAGAGAGCACGAGGGTCAGTAGAGAGCACGAGGGACAGTAGAGAGCACGAGGGACAGTAGAGAGCACGAGGGACAGTAGAGAGCACGAGGGACAGTAGATTGCACGAGGGACAGTAGAGAGCACGAGGGACAGTAGAGAGCACGAGGGTCAGTAGAGAGCGCGAGGGACAGGAGAGAGCACGAGGGACAGTAGAGAGCGCGAGGGACAGTAGAGAGCACGAGGGACAGTAGAGAGCACGAGGGACAGGAGAGAGCACGAGGGACAGTAGAGAGCACGAGGGACAGGAGAGAGCACGAGGGACAGTAGAGAGCACGAGGGACAGGAGAGAGCACGAGGGACAGAAGAGAGCACGAGGGACAGTAGAGAGCACGAGGGACAGTAGAGAGCACGAGGGACAGGAGAGAGCACGAGGGACAGTAGAGAGCACGAGGGACAGGAGAGAGCACGAGGGACAGGAGAGAGCACGAGGGACAGGAGAGAGCACGAGGGACAGGAGAGAGCACGAGGGACAGGAGAGAGCACAAGGGACAGTAGAGAGCACAAGGGACAGTAGAGAGCACGAGGGACAGGAGAGAGCACAAGGGACAGGAGAGAGCACGAGGGACAGTAGAGAGCACGAGGGACAGGAGAGAGCACGAGGGACAGGAGAGAGCACGAGGGACAGTAGAGAGCACGAGGGACAGTAGAGAGCACGAGGGACAGTAGAGAGCACAAGGGACAGTAGAGAGCACGAGGGACAGTAGAGAGCACGAGGGACAGTAGAGAGCACGAGGGACAGTAGATTGCACGAGGGACAGTAGAGAGCACGAGGGACAGTAGAGAGCACGAGGGACAGGAGAGAGCACGAGGGACAGAAGAGAGCACGAGGGACAGTAGAGAGCACGAGGGACAGTAGAGAGCACGAGGGACAGGAGAGAGCACGAGGGACAGGAGAGAGCACGAGGGACAGGAGAGAGCACGAGGGACAGGAGAGAGCATGAGGGACAGGAGAGAGCACGAGGGACAGTAGAGAGCACGAGGGACAGTAGAGAGCACGAGGGACAGTAGAGAGCACGAGGGACAGGAGAGAGCACGAGGGACAGGAGAGAGCACGAGGGACAGGAGAGAGCACGAGGGACAGTAGAGAGCACGAGGGACAGTAGAGAGCACGAGGGACAGTAGAGAGCACGAGGGACAGTAGAGAGCACGAGGGACAGGAGAGAGCACGAGGGACAGGAGAGAGCACGAGGGACAGGAGAGAGCACGAGGGACAGTAGAGAGCACGAGGGACAGGAGAGAGCACGAGGGACAGTAGAGAGCACGAGGGACAGGAGAGAGCACGAGGGACAGGAGAGAGCACGAGGGACAGGAGAGAGCACGAGGGACAGGAGAGAGCACGAGGGACAGGAGAGAGCACGAGGGACAGGAGAGAGCACGAGGGACAGGAGAGAGCACAAGGGACAGTAGAGAGCACAAGGGACAGTAGAGAGCACGAGGGACAGGAGAGAGCACAAGGGACAGGAGAGAGCACGAGGGACAGTAGAGAGCACGAGGGACAGGAGAGAGCACGAGGGACAGGAGAGAGCACGAGGGACAGTAGAGAGCACGAGGGACAGTAGAGAGCACGAGGGACAGTAGAGAGCACAAGGGACAGTAGAGAGCACGAGGGACAGTAGAGAGCACGAGGGACAGTAGAGAGCACGAGGGACAGTAGATTGCACGAGGGACAGTAGAGAGCACGAGGGACAGTAGAGAGCACGAGGGACAGGAGAGAGCACGAGGGACAGAAGAGAGCACGAGGGACAGTAGAGAGCACGAGGGACACCACCCCCCCTGACGCCTTAGAGATCCTCGCCACCGCAAACTTCACCTCATCATGCACCAAAAATGGACCGTGCTGGTGCTTGCATCTCAGGGCATGATGCGGGTCTGCTGGGTCAACATACGCTGTGCCACAAACACACCTCCTTGCCACCTGCAGCTGCTGAATTGGGAGCCCGAGCCGTATAGTAGCAGCAATGCCCCACTCAGCCGCAGTGAATGTGAGATCTGAGTGAGCCGGGACCGCCAAAACCCATGCACCAGCCCCCGAGCCCTGAAGGGATGTGAAACGGGCCAGGGTGGCATCGTCACGAGCCGAGCGGCGCAGTGCCTGGAGCTCCTCTACAGCCAACTGCCGTTGCCGCACCTGAAAAACCCGAAGAGGAGGGGCCGCTACACACAGAGGTAAGCCCGACATCTCCTGGCGTATAGTCGCAGGCAGCTGCTCAATAGCCTTGGCAAACCAAGGATCAAGAAACGCTGCCCGTGCCGAAGTGATGAGGTGCTCTGCAAACATCGCCTCCTCGCCCGCCACCCCCAACTGTGCAATATCATGCGCGGCCTGCGCCCACCCACAAACATAGGACAGCGGACTCAAAGAGGCCGCCGCCCGGATCCCAAACCCTCCGATATGCAGCTGCATGCGAGCGCGCCTAGACCGGTCGGGGTCCTGCTCCCAAGTGCCAGGTGGGAAAAGCTGCTCAAAGCAACCCTCCAGACAGCTATCCCAATTCTTAAAGGCCTCCACCACCTCCGGACGAGGCAGCATAGTCCAAGCCAGGTACATCGGCCATGCTGAAACTGCAATAGCGAGGAGATGTGAAGCCATCTGGGAAGCAGAGGGGGGCATGGCAATGGCGTCTGCAACTGTCAAAGCCGCTCCCGTAACCAGACCACCTCCCAATCCTCCTCCCTAATAGGCACGCCCACCACAGTGAGATCCTCCTCCACCCGCTACATCCCCAATGGCAGTGCCCGCTCCCCATCCCCGCCTTCGCGCTCCCAAAACCGGCACTTGTGTGCCTGCACCTCCAGCCCCACCCACTCCAACCACTCCTGCAGCACCCCAAAAGCCTCTAGAATCCTAGCCGCTGGTCCCATGATATAGGTATCGTCTACATAACTCAAGTAGGTCCCTGAACTCTCTAGTCACCGACTCCATCACATGCTGCTGCGTGAACACGAAAAGAAAAGGGTCGAGCGGGCCCTCCTGCCGCGATCCTCATGCCGAATCAAGGCTCTGTACGAAAGGGCCCGCTCGGAGGTACTTTTTGCTAGGTGGCCCGTAGAAAACACGCAAGAATGCAATCAACTTGGAGAAAGGCGACTCCCGCGGCCCCTCAAACATCGCATGACGGTGAAACGAATTGAAGGCGTACGCGACGTTTATCTGCAGCGCACACCAGTCGGGGTGAGTCGCCAGCGCTGACCAAAAAGAATTAGTAAGAATCTCCACCCCGGCCCTGGTGCCCGCTCCCAGCTGGTTGCACGGCAGAAAGTAGGAAGCCATCGCAGGGCGGAGCGAGGTGTAGAGAGCTCGAGCAAGGATACGCGGAAGCACCTCCCCAATCGCCACCGGCTGGACGTCGCCGTTAGGCTTGGAAAGCCCAACTAGGTTGGATGCGGTGAGCTAGGGGCGAGCCCGCTCGAGGACCTGTTCCGCCACCCAATGGTTGAACACTTCCAACAGGTGGGAAAGGCAGGAAGGTTCAGTGAGGAAGGTCTCGCGCAGATGCTCTGTGACCCACCCCGATTGTGAGGATCTGGGATCGAGCTTAGAAAAGAGAGTTTGAATTGGGCTTAGAAAAGAGGTACAACACAAGGCTATGTATAGGCTCGACACAAGGCCCAGTAACCAGGTGTTACGCGAAAGTTCTGAGGGTCGCGAAGCGTCCCGAACAGAGCCTTCCCGAATTCGGTAGAAGGCAATTCGGTGGCAACCAAAAAGCCCAGAATTCGGTGTACGCAACCTAGCTCGGTGCTATAACTATAATAAAATATAGGAAAGCACCTAGCCTAGGAAATCAAGCAATTCAGGCATGCATAAAATAAACCTATGCTAGAAATAGCATAATAAAGTAAAGGCAAGCAAGCATAGCTGGCAAAAGCCGTCATACTCCCAAACGTCCCCCCCTCACAGCTGGGTGGCGTGAGATACACCCTGCTTGATAAGATAGTCCTTGAGAGCACGGCGTGCGTTGCCCATATCAGCTTCTGCAACCCAACTATCCTCAGTGGGATCGTGTCCCGTCCAGCGAATCAGGAACTCGAGGGTCTTGCCGCCGCGTCGCCAATGAGTGAGAACGCGCTCCACTTCGTACTCGGGTTCATCCTGGATGAGAACAGGTTGTGGTGGCGGTAGCTGCCATCCCTGGAACTGTTGGTTGTGGTCCTGGTAGGGTTTCAGTAGCTGAACATGGAAAGCGTTGTGAAGATTCCACGTATCTGGTAAGCGCAAGCGGAATGTTACTAGTGTCACATGTGCCTCAACGAGAAAAAGACCACAGAAGCGAGGCCGGAGCTTGGATGGGAGGTGAGAAAGGTTCAAGTTGCGCGTGTCGAGAAGCACCTGATATCCGACTGCTACCATGTCATCACGTCGCTGGCGATCGGCTTACCGCTTCTGGGAGTTCTGCATCGTTGTAAGATGCCGCTGAGTCTTCTCCCATAGCTATTGCATGGTGGTGACGAAGTCGTGTGCGGCTTGGACGTGTGCCGGTGTGGTTGGCTGCTGTGGGGTGAGTGGTTCCCGTCCGTAACACATGAAGAAAGGAGTTTTCCCTGTGGCCGCATGTGATGCGTTGTTGTAGGCGAACTCTAGGGTCGATAACTGTGTGTCCCAGTGGCTGACGTCGTCCTTGCAAGCTGTGCGCAGTAACTGTTCAAACACTTGATTGAGTCGCTCTGTCTGTTCGTCAGTTTGGGGATGGTATGCTGAAGACATCGCAAGCTTAGTCCCCATGAGCTCCTTCCAGAACTTACTCGTGAATTTGGGGTCTCTGTCTGAGATGAGTGTAGCGGGGATGCGGTGGATGGTGATGATGCGGTCGAAGAAGAGGCGAGCAGTTGCTTCAACTGTAGCTGTGGCGTTGGTCGGGATGAAGTGACCCATTTTGGAGAACTTGTCGATCACCACGAGTATAGCGTCATGCCCTCGTAAGTTCGAAGGAAGTCCCGTGATGAAGTCGAGGCTAACGACTTGCCATGGCTGCTCCGGAATGGGTAGAGGCTGAAGTAACCCTGCTTTTTTGTGCTTGCTACTCTTCATCCGCTGGCATGTGTCGCATGAGGTGACAAACTGCTGCACGTCTGCTGCCATCCGGGGCCAGTAGTAATATTCTGCTACTCCCGCTAACGTTTTGTTGCTCCCGAAATGTCCCGTGTATGGTACGTCATGAAACTCCTCCAATTGGACCGGGGCGGCTCAACGCGTCTGCCTTGTGTGTAGCCCGGGCTTGTAGACGATGTCGTGGTGGAAGTGAGCTTCCAAGAAGTCCACCCACCGCACCTGTCGTCTTGAGAGCATTGGCTGCGAATTCAGGTATTTGAGACTGCAGTGGTCGGTATAGACTGTAGTCTTGGCTCCCTCTAGGTAACACCTCCATGCCTTGAAACCTACGACTATGGCTAAGGCTTCCTTGTCGTGGATGGGGTAGATCAGTTCTGCTCCGTGTAGCTTCTTTCTGAGGTAGGCGATAGGCTGTAAACCGTGTTCGTGATCCTGCATCAGTACTGCTCCGACTGCTTGGTCACTAGCGTCTGCTTCAAACTACGTAGTCTTTGTCTGGGTCCGGTAGGATGAGGACTGGTGCTGTGGTCAGTGCTGTCTGGAGCTGTTCCATGGCTTGCTAATGAGGAGTATCCCATTTGAAGGGCGTATCCTTTTTTAGTTGGTCGGTCAGTGGTGCTGCTATGTTAGCATAGTGTGGCACGAACCTGTTGTAGTAGTTGGCAAAGCCTAGGAACTGCTGCAACTCCTTCACGTTCTTCGGAACTTTCCATCTCTTGACGGCTTCGATCTTCCGAGGGTCCACGTGTACGCCTTCGGCACTCACCATGTGCCCGAGAAACCGCACCTTCTTCAGTGCAAAGTCACTCTTCGACAGCTTCACCTAGACCTTATTATTCTTCGACAAACACCTCCCGCAGATGCTCCACGTTCTCCTTCATGTTCTTGGAGTAGATTGCGGAGATAACTGCTGCAACGGGAGATAGGCTACAGGCTAGGCACGTGTGCTTGTGTGATGTCTGCGTTCGTTCACTTAGTCGTTTGCTTGTGTGTTCTCTGCTTGCACATTCACGGGGAGATTTTGCAAGAGTTTCACTAGCAAAGATTGACAACAATGGTTGCAACAACATTGGCATCACAGACTACATCAGAGCTAGCTAGGCTGTTGGTCGACCTCCAGCGCAGCATGGTCGACCGCGCTCCAGCGCAGCAGCACTCGCACCGCTCTAGCATTGCAGAGTAGCGGTTCGCCAACGTTGCAAGTCCACGGTGTGCCAACGCTGCAGCAAGTCGGCTGCACAGCGTTGCACCCGCAGGACAACGGTGCACCTGCTTCGCAGGTGCGCGCAGCTGGTTGGTGCTCCACGCCTTGTCACGAGCACAGCGCAGACGCCTGGCAGACTCCACGCCAGCAACTGCGCCCACCAGCCACGTCGACCTCGGGATACCACCCCTGAGGTCGGCCTCGCAGACTTCACCCCGACGACACTCGTGCACGTCGCCCGACTTCCCGGTCGACCGGACAACCACGCCCGGACAACCAGCACAGTCCGTAGCCGGCCACCACTACCCGGCGTCCCCAGTCCGGCGTCCGGGCGCCCAGGACACCGTCCGAACCCCCAGGTTGGCGTCCAGGCGCCCACGACGCCGTGCAAACCTTCTGAGCGGTGTCCAGCCTCCCAGGACGCCGGCCAGACTCCCAGGTCGGCGTCCTGGCCCCCAGGGCGCCCAGGTCGGCGTCCTAGCCCCCAGGACGCCGTGCAGACGCCCACGACGTCGACCACGCGCTTAGGTCGGCGTCCAGCTTCCCAGGACGCCGTCCAGGCGTCCGGGACGCCAACCAGGCGTCCAGGGCGGCGTCCTCCTGCTCGGCGCCCTCCAACCAGGCGCCCTCCAGCTCGGCGCCCCTGCAGTGGCCCCCGTGCCCACTGCTGCAGGTCGGCTGCAACTCCCACACACGACCACGAGGTCGGCCCCGCCCAAGCGAGGACGGGGCCACACAACACTCCCGTTGACATAGATGAGTATGTTGTCCAAGTACACCACTATGCACTCGTCCAGCAGGGGCCGTAGGATA